AGACTCAACTCAACACAACAAAACCAGGTCACAGGGTCAGCCCAGGGTCAGCAGGACATGCTTGCATGGCCAGCTCAGCCCATGACACCCATGTGGCCCAGCCAGTTAATGCAGCCAAAGCAACTAGCAAATTCCTCTGAGAGAAGCCACTCACCCACCATTAGTGCTGAACCCATCCCAACCCAGCTCTTTCCAACCCAGCTTACCCAGATCAGCCCAGCTCACCCAGCTCAGCACACCCAGCTCACCCAACTCACCCAGCTCACCCAGCTCACCCAGCTCAGCTCACCCAGCTCACCTCATCCAGTACAGCTCACAGAGCTCACCCAGCTCAGCTAACCCAGCTTACCCAGCTCACCCAGCTCAATCAGCTCAAACAGCTCACCCAGCTCAACCAGCTCACCCAGCTCACCCAGCTCAGCTCATCCAGCTCACCCAGCTCAGCTTGTCCAGCTCACCCAGTTTAGCTCACCCAGTACAGCTCACCCACCTCACGCAGCTCATCTAGCTCACCCAGCTCACCCAGCTAAGCTAACCTAGCTCACCCAGCTCACCCAGCTCACCCAGCTCAACCAGCTCACCCAGCTCACCCAGCTCAGCTCACCCAGCTCACCCAGCTAAGCTAACCCAGCTCACCCAGCTCACCCAGCTCACCCAGCTAAGCTCACCCACCTCACCCAGCTCATCTAGCTCACCCAGCTCACCCAGCTAAGCTCACCTAGCTCACCCAGCTCATCTAGCTCACCCAGCTCACCCAGATAACCCAGCTCACCCAGCTCACCCAGCTCACCCAGCTCACCCAGCTTACACAGCTCACCAACCTCTCCCAGCTCAGCTCACCCAGCTCACCTAGCTCAGCTCACCCAGTACAGCTCACCCAGCTCACCCAGCTCAGCTCACCCAGCTCACCAACCTCACCCAGCTCACCAACCTCACCCAGCTCAGCTCACCCAGCTCATCCAGCTCACCTAACTCACTCCGCTCACCCAGCTCAGCTTACCCAGCTCACCCAGCTCAGCTTACCAGCTCACCCAGCTCAGCTTACCCATCTCACCCAGTTCACCCAGCTCAGCTCACCCAGCTCACCCAGCTCACCCAGCTCAGCTCACCCAGCTCACCAACCTCACCCAGCTCACCAACCTCACCCAGCTCAGCTCACCCAGCTCACCCAGCTCACCTAACTCACTCCGCTCACCCAGCTCAGCTCACCCAGCTCACCCAGCTCACCCAGCTCAGCTTACCAGCTCACTCAGCTCAGCTTACCCAGCTCACCCAGCTCAGCTCACCCAGTACAGCTGTACAGCTCACCGAGCTCACCCAGCTCAGCTCACCCAGCTCACCCAGCTCAGCTCACCAGCTCACCCAGCTCAGCTCACCCAGCTCACCCAGCTCAGCTCACCAGCTCACCCAGCTCAGCTTACCCAGCTCACCCAGCTCAGCTCACCAGCTCACCCAGCTCAGCTCACCCAGCTCACTAGCTCACCCAGCTCAGCTCACCCAGCTCACCCAGCTCAGCTCACCCAGCTCACCCAGCTCAGCTCACCCAGCTCACTAGCTCACCCAGCTCAGCTCACCCAGCTCACCCAGCTCAGCTCACCCAGCTCACCCAGCTCAGCTCACCCAGCTCACTAGCTCACCCAGCTCAGCTCACCCAGCTCACCCAGCTCACCCAGCTCAGCTCACCCAGCTCACCCAGCTCAGCTCACCCAGCTCACTAGCTCACCCAGCTCAGCTCACCCAGCTCACCCAGCTCAGCTCACCCAGCTCACCCAGCTCAGCTCACCCAGCTCACTAGCTCACCCAGCTCAGCTCACCCAGCTCACCCAGCTCAGCTCACCCAGCTCACCCAGCTCAGCTCACCCAGCTCACTAGCTCACCCAGCTCAGCTCACCCAGCTCACCCAGCTCAGCTCACCTAGCTCACCCAGCTCAGCTCACTCAGCTCATCTAGCTCACCCAGCTCACCCAGCTCAGCTTACCCAGTTCACCCAGCCCAGCTTAGCCCAGCTCACCCAGCTCACCCAGCTCAGCTCACCCAGCTCACTAGCTCACCCAGCTCAGCTCACCCAGCTCACCCAGCTCAGCTCACTCAGCTCACCCAGCTCAGCTCACCCAGCTCACTAGCTCACCCAGCTCAGCTCACCCAGCTCACCCAGCTCAGCTCACCCAGCTCACCCAGCTCACCCAGCTCAGCTCACTCAGCTCATCTAGCTCACCCAACTCACCCAGCTCACCCAGCTCAGCTCACCCAGTTCACCCAGCCCAGCTTAGCCCAGCTTACCCAGCTCATCCAGCTCAGCCCTGGTTCAGCTCAGAAAGCTTAATTCAAACTGCTACAGTCCACCTCAGCTCCAGCCACCCAGAACAGCCCAGCGCAGTCCTGCTCAGCCGGGTGGTTCTGGTCAGAAGGCTCAGGCCACACGACCTGCTCACCTCAGAGAAAGCGTCTCACCCAGGACTTCTATACAGCTGGGCTCGGCCAGGTTGGCTCCTTCCCAGGGCCTCTTTCTGCCTTTTGCCCCTGATACGCCTGCTTCCAGCCCTGGCCCTGCTCCTGCTGGCCTCTGACTCCCAAGCAGCGCCCATCACTGCCCTCCCCAGTAGCCGGTCCAACACTCTGCCCACTTCAAGTCAGTCTACATCTGGCGGGGCTTGGGGAGCTCTGGGTCGGCAGAGTGTCTCCCCTGCCCATGCCCCACTGTCAGCCTCCGGCTTTAACCATGTTCCCTCCCAAGAAAAATCACCCCTCAGAATGGCCAGGACACGCATCTTTCTGAGCTCGTAATTAAAGCCCTGCTTGGCAGCACACGTCATGGGACCTTCCTAACGCGCGGCCATGACCCGAGAACAGGAACTGCGCTCATGACTTAGGGACAGATAGCAGAGGGGGCTTATCTGAGCTACCCGCCCGCAGCTAGCTGGCCACAGGGCAGCACTGGTCACTTTTCCCTGGAAGGTTCTCTGGAGAGAGGTGACTGGGAGGGACCCCCAAAGGGGCATCTTGGGGGGTCACATACCCAGCCCTCTGCACCTCCACCCAGCCCTCTGAGCACCAATGGCCCAACCTCCCCTTCAGGTGGAGGCAAAGCTATCAAACCCACTGGCTGCGGTGGCTTCTCACCACGCCTGCCGCTCACTTGCAAGTCGGGGCCCTCCTCGCCAGTACTAAGTCTAAACACAATCTAGCCATTTTAAATTAAATTATAGAAGAGCAATAGACTTGAAAGAAATCCAATCTAGCCCAGGAATCGCCTCCTCATTCCGAGGGCAGGGGACCTTTGTCCTGCAGCAGTTCCTCCAACTCCTCTACTCACTCAGTCACTGGGGACTCAGGAGAGTGGCAGGCTGGCGGTGGAAGCCAGGGCTGCACCTCCTGGCCTGGGGCTCGGCTGCTCTCAGACCCTCCATCTCCACTGGAGCAAGTTCAAGTGCAAACGAGGCCTTGACATGCCCGGTTCCTTTCTGCCTGGAGACCTGATGGGTTTCCTCTTAGTCCACTGACTACGAGGTTTCACTGAACTAATCCAGGACCATCCCACACTTTCCACCGGCCTCTGTCCTCAGGGGCATACTTGAAAATCGGTCTGAAACAGAGGTGACTTTATCAGAAATCACAAAGTGTCTTCCTCACAGGAATAAAACACTAACTTAAAAAAAACCACAGAGGGTCCCTGTGACACGAGGCGTGGTCACTGAGAATGACCTCTAGCAGGGCCAGCGGATTGAACACAGGACACCGGCCCTCGGCTAACTGCTCCTAGGCAGTTGCCCACCTCACATGCCTCTCTTTGGACACTAGAGTAAACAAGACGCTGGCGAGCCAAGTCCCGAAAAGGAAACCCAGACGTGGAAAGAGGAACCTCGTTCCCGCCTCGCCTTATCTCACAGCCCAGCCACAGGTGCTGTTTGCTCCAGCAACACAGTTAGGTTTGTGGGCAAAAGTCTGAAACCACGTCTCAGAACCAGAAGCTATAAATGTGTCAACTGTGTTTTCTCGCTTCCGAAAATAGACTCTGGCAGACCAGCTGGTTCCGGTAGTCGGCTGCAGGTGCGCTGCCCCTACCACGGCCACCGGCTCCCCTCCATCCAACAACCTCATATCAGTGAAAAGTAATTTATCTTCGTCAAAACTCAGCCCACGGTTCCGTTACCATGTCTGGCCAAACTGGCACCACTATCCATTCTTGATAGACACGATTCCTGATTGTTGATTAAATAATAAGATTTTTACAAATTCAGTGTCCTTGAAAATCTCTCACATTTTAAAGTCACATTTTTCTTGCCCTGGCCTTTTTGGCTCAGTGGATAGAGCATTGGCCTGAGGACTGAAGAGCCCTGCTTTGATTCCGGTCAAGGACACATGCCCTGGTTGGAGGCTCGGTCTCCACTGGGATGTGCAGGAGGCAGCCAATCCATGATTCTCTCTCATCATTGATGTTTCTATCTCTCTCTCTCTCTCCCTTCCTCCTCTCTGAAGTCAATAAAAATATATTTTAAAAAAATAAAGTAAAACAATGTCACACTTTTCTGAACTCTGTCTTTCAACTCGGTAAGCGAAGTGTTTCCTGGGTCCTCTGCCCTATCCAGCCACAGAGCCCTCCTCGCCAATACAGAAGTCTAAACACAATCTAGCCATTTTAAATTAAATTATAAAAGAGCAATGGACTTGAAAGAAATCCTATCTAGCCCAGGAATCGCCTCCTCAATCCGAGGGCAGTGTCCCCTGGAGCCGCCTGCTCCTGGTTCTGTAAACTCCCGGTTCTGACTGCGAGAAAGTCCCTCTGCCAGTCCGACCTCTCGCCCCGGGACGGCCCTTCAGGCTGGCAGCCTCTTTCAGGAGCTCAGTGATGCCCAGACAAGCTATTATTTCAGTCTCTGAAAGGCGCCCAAAAATCAAAAGGCTTTGCAGGTCCTGCCCAGGCCCCGGTCACTGATGCCCAGAAAGACCCACCGAGAGGAGCAGGAAGAAAAGGCCCGAGGAGGGCATCAGCCTTACCTGAGGAGACGGTGACCAGGGTCCCTTGGCCCCAGTAGTCCATTCCATAGTAATCACAGCCGTGCAATCTCCATCCTCACCCCACAAAAACTGGGGTGCCAGCACAGCTTTGCCAGAGCCTCCAGGGCACCTGACCATGAGCCGACAGCCCTGATTGGGACTCAGAAATCCGAGCCACACAGCTGGCCGGGTGGGGCTGCCACCTGCCCTGCAGTCTCTTGTCACTGTCTTTGGAGAGGGGAGGCCGGTCTCCAGCCCCACTTGGGGGACCCTCTCACTGGATCCCTTTCCTGACCTCCAAAATACCTTGGCATCCCCGATATCCAGACCCGATGCCAAACCTCCCCAAGGGCAGCTGCGGTGGGCACGGTGCAGGACTCACCTGAGGAGACGGTGACCAGGGTGCCCTGGCCCCAGTATTCAAACCACCTGTCACATTGTGACAACCGTGCCCGGGCCCCGGACAAGAACCTCGGGCCTCACATCCCCTCAGATGGTGCCCAGAAAGGCCACAGGGTCCGGAGGCCAAGGTAGGCTGAGACCCAGAGAGACCCCCGGATGCAGAGTCCAGAAGAGCAGGTCCGAACCGTCCTCTGACCCGAGAGCCACAGTACCCCTGCCCCTTCCTAAGTCCCCAGCCTGGCCTCGTCCTCCTGGACCCGAGACCCAGACACACTCATTTCCCAGAAAAAAGCATCAAAAACCCTCCAGGAGAGAGAGGAGAGAGAGAGGAGAGAGGGGGTGGGAGGACTCACCTGAGGAGACGGTGACCAGGGTGCCCTGGCCCCAGTAGTCAAAGTGGTCACATTGCCTCGGGCTCCCTGAGGCAGCGTACAAAAACCTCCAAAGCCTGTCTCCTCAGGAGTCCAAAACCCGAGAACACAGCCCCTCTGCCCTCCACCACCCTGTCCCCCACGAGAGGCCTTCTGCAGTGGCCCCCAGGGCTGCCCAATGGGGACTCCGCAGGGCCCCTAAGAGAGCAAAACATAATCCCAGGACAGAGATGAGAGAGGAAGCCGGCTTACCTGAGGAGATGGTGACCAGGGTCCCCTGGCCCCAGTGAGCAAAGTCACCACAATGCCCCTGGCTGCCTGAGGCCGCATACAAAAACTGCACCACCACCCACCACTCACCACCCACACCCTGCCCGGCCCTGGCCACCCCATAAACCCGTCTCTTCAAGTCTCCTCGCCTCTGAACACAGCCCCCTCAGCCTCCTTTGCAAAGACCCGTCCACATGGGAGGCATCTGCAGAGCGGAGACCCCAGTGGCCTCAGGAGCAGTCCCCTAGGAACTCCCCTATCCTCAACCCCAAGAATCTCTGGAAATTTCTTTCCCAGCCCAGACAGAGGAGAGAGGAAACCGGCTTACCTGAGGAGACCGTGACCAGAGTCCCCTGTCCCCAGTAAGCAGTCACCACAATGCCACGGGCTCCCTGAGGCCGCGTACAAAAACTGTACCACCACCCACACCCCGCCTGGCCCTGGCTACCCCAGAAATGCATCTCTTCAAGTCTCCTCGCCTCCAGACACAGCCCCCTCAGCCTCCCCTGCAAAGACCCATCCCCATGAGAGGCATCTGCAGAGCGGAGACCCCAGTGGCCTCAGGAGCACTCCCCTAGGAACTCCACAGACCACACACAGACACAAACCCCCATCCCCCTGCCACCCTGAGAATCTCTGGAAAGTCCTTTCTGGGAAAGAGGAGAGAGGAAGCCGGCTTATCTGAGGAGATGGTGATCAGGGTCCCCTGGCCCCACACATCGAAAACATCACATGGGGACACAGTTCCCGGTTCCCCCAGACATAAACCTGCCCCGGCCCCCAGCGGCCAGGCTGCTGCCCTGCCCAGGGCCACAGGAACCCCGGGTTGGGAGGGCGACAGGCCAAGTGGTGTAGCCTCCTGTCCCACAGAATGCACCCTGCCCTCCTGTCCCAGTCCTGAGACCAGATGGGACCCCTGGCTCTGCACACCTGAGCCTGCTTCCCGCCCCGCCCTGTCCCCATGGGACAGTGGACTCCAGACTCACCTGGGGAGACGGTGACCAGGGCACTCGGGCCCCAGTGCTCGAAGTAAGCATAGGCACAGTGAGTGGCCCCAAGCTGTGGCCTCAGAAATCCCCGCAGCAGCTGGGGTCCCCCAGGAGCCACAGGAGACACCAGGTTGCTCTCTGCTCACAGACACACCCCCAGGGCCCAGGCAGGCCCCCTCACGCCCCCTGTCCTCAGGGCTGGGTTTGGACCTCCTTCCTGACACCAGGCTCATCCCACTGACCCTGCCTGGCTGCTCCCCGGCACCCAGCTGTGCCCCTTGACTGGGACGGCACCCCATCTCATGCTCCCACCCAGCCCTCAGAGCCCCTGGCCCTGAGCTCTGAGCCCCGGGCAGCTGGCTGGGTTTTTGTAGAGCTGTCAATCACTGTGCCCCAGTTGGCACTGTGGTCCCTGGCTTAGCCAAAACCTCTAGGCTAGGGTGGGACAGGTGGGTGGAGATGGGTCTCCCCCTGAGGGCCAGGCTGGGATAGGAGGGCACAGAGCAGAGGAGACCCCAACATCTAGTCCTGCTTTTCCCTTTTCTTAAAAATAAGAGCAGATTCAAGGCTGTGCTGAGGCTCTCTCCTGCTTCGCCTCCCCCCTGCCCCCCCCCCACACACATTTGGTTTGTTCTTAGTGGAGAAAGGCCTCATCCTGGGAGGTTTGGGGGGCTGATGGAACCCCTAGTCCATCTCTGATCTGTGGGGCAGTCTGTCAGGGGCTCAGCTGAGAGGCTGCTTTCTCTCTCTGGCCGCATCTCATTAATTCTACCTGTTCGCTGCCCCACAGGTACGGGATCCTGGGGTAGGCTGCTGAGACAGTGTCCCACAGGGTGGTTCCCGCCCAGTCCCCTGGGGCGACTGGTCCTTGTGGGGGAGGTAGTCTCAGGAGGGTAGTGAAGGGAGGGTCCCTCCCCAACACCTGTCAGGCTGTTGTCCCCCAACTCCTGGCCACAGGGAGGGGAGGGAGGACGGCATCAGCTCCTGTCAGATGGGCTGGTACCAGGGCTCCAAGGGCACCAGGGATGGGATGGAGGGCACAGGCTGCCTGGGCCAGGTGCCAGCCTGCAGGTGTGCCCAGGGGCAGGCTGTGCTGGGGGGACAGGGGCACAGACACAGCCTCATAGCCTCTCAGCCTCAGCCTCACAGCTTCAGCCTCACAGCCCTGAGGTCTGGGAGGGCAAGATAGTGCCCTGACCACTGTCTGGGGGAAGGTGAGAACCCAGTGTGTTGAGAGGCCCCTGTGTGCGTTGTGTGTATGAGAGAGTGAAAGCATGGGTGTACATGTGAGTACATATGTGTGCTGATATGCAAATGTACATGTGTGTATATCTATGCATTTGTGTGCACATGATTGGGCATGTGAGCGCACACACATGTGCACGGTGTGTGCATATGTTCACATGTACATGAATGGGTGGGTGTGTGCCTATGTACATGATCGGGTATGTGAGCATACATGTGTGTCACTTCAGGCAGAAGAACCACCAAGTGGAGGCCCAAGGCTGGCCTGGTGCCTGGGGAGCTCAGGTGGCTGTATGTAGCTGAGTTGACAGGGGACCCGAAGCCCCGTGAGGGGCTGGACATGTCCTGGACTTTGCTTAAAGTCTCCCTCCAGAAGGTTCTGCCTGGTCCAGTATGGACGGATTTGGGTTGAGCTCGGGTGTGCGGGACGAAAGGCCTGTGCTGAGAGAGGTTAGGGAGCACATGGGATGGTGAGCAGAACCACGGAGTGCCCACGGGGTCAGGGAGAGTAGGGTCCTGGGCAGCACTGCCAGAACTCAGCAGAGCGGGGTCCCAGGATCCCAGGTCTGGAGAGATGGGGGGCCCCTGAGGCGGAGCTGCAGATTCAGCGAGGAGACAGCCAAGGTTGAGGGTCTGGTTCTGGCCTCTGAGCCCAGGGGAAGAGGGTGGTGATGGGGGAGGTACAGTCTGCCCTGTCCTGAGGGAATGAGAGTCCGGACCTCCAGGCTCTGGGGCCAGCTATAGCCCACGGAAGGCTCCTCAGGCCTCAGACCCTCTGCAGGATCTTCCTGCCTTGGCCTCTGCTCTGGGCCTCCTGCCTCCTGCTCAGGAAGAAAGGGTGGGGCTGTCCTTGACCATTCAGGAAGCACCTGCTAGGCTCCCCAGCCTCTGTGCCTGATGCGAGAGGGGAGGGGCCCACCCTGCCCTGCTGGCCCCTTTCCTCCAGCTCAACTCCATCCCTCATCCTTAGCCTCCACCTCTCATCTTCAGCTCCCGAATCCCTCATCCTTAGTCCCATCCTTCATCCTTATGCTCCACCCCTCATCCTTAGCCCCATCCCTCATCCTTAGCCTCCATCCCCCATCTTCAGCCACCTTCCCTCATTCTTAGTCTCCTTCCTTTATCCTTCTCATTCTTAGCCTCCATCCCTCATCCTTAGCCCTAATCCCTCATTCTTATCCCCTATTTCTCACCCTTTGCCCTATCCCCCATCCTTAGCCCTCAACTCTCATCCTTAGCCCCATCCCTCATCCTTAGCTTCCATTCATCATCCTTAGCCATCATACCTCAATATTGTTTCCCATCCTTCATTCTTACCCCCATCCCTCATCCTTAGCCCCATCCCTCATCCTTAGCTCCCGTCTTATCCTTAGCTCTCATCTCTCATCCTTTGCCCCATCCCTCATCCTTAACCCCATCTCTCTTCCTTAGCCCCATCCCTCATCCTTAGCTCTCATATCTTATTATTATCCATCCCTCATTCTTAGCCCCATCCCTTATTCTTAGCCCCATCCCTTATCCTTAGCCCCCATCCCTCATCCTTAGCTTCATGCCTCATCCTTAGCCCCATCCCTCATCCTTAGCCTGCATCTCTTATTTTTAGCCCCATCCCTCATCCTTAGACCCATCTCTCATCCTTATCATTCTTTGCCCCAATCTGTCTTCCTCTGCCTCCATCCATCATCCTTAGCTTCCATCCCTTATCCTTTGTCTCCATCCCTCCTTCTTAGGACTCATCCCTCATCCTTAGACTCCATCCCTCATCCTTCTCATCCTTAGCCCCCATCTCTCATTTTTAGCCACATCCCTCATCCTTAGCCCTATCCCTCACCCTTAACCCCCATCCCTCATTCTTAGCCCCATCTCTCACCTTTAGCCCCCATCTATCATTTTTGGCTCCTATCCATCATCCTTAGCCTCTGTCCATCATCCTTAGCCTCTCTCCCTCATCCTTAACTCCCTTCCTTCACCTTAGCCTCCATCCCTCATCCTTCTCTTCCTTAGTTTCCAGCCCTCATGCTTAGGTGCAATCCCTCAACCTTAGCCTCCAAATCTCATCCTTAGCCCCCTCCCTCTTCCTTAGCCCCCATCCCTCAGCCTCAACCTCATTCCTCATCCTTAGTCTCCACCCCTCATCCTTTTCATCTTTAATACCCATCTTTTATCTTCAGCCCCCATTCCTTATCCTTAGCCCCCATTCTTCATCCTTAACTCCCCATTCCTCATCCTTAGCTTCCATCCTTACTCTGTACTCTTATCCTCCATCTTCAGCTCCTATACCCCAGTCCCAGCCCTCATCTGCCTCGAGCACACATCTCTCTTCCACACTCTCATATGCCTCACAGTGGGCTCCAAGTTTTATGCTATGTGGTATGTCTTTGTATTGGGATATTTCCATTTCTTTTTTTAAAATATATTTTATTGATTTTGTACAGAGAGGAAGGGAGAGAGATAGAGAGTTAGAAACATCGATGAGAGTCATCGATCAGCTGCCTCCTGCACACCCCCTACTGGGGATATGCCTGCAACCAAGGTACATGCCCTTGACCGGAATCAAACCTGGGACCCTTCGGTCCCCAAGCCAATGCTCTATCCATTAAGCCAAACCGGTTTAGGCAGAATATTTCCATTTCTATCTTTGTTGCATAAAGTTTATCTTTATTCAAGGAAATACTTTTATTTCCGATAGTCTGTATTAATCTGAATATGTATGCATACACATGTACAAATATGCACCCATGTTCAATATTCAATATGTATATATAGGTTATTAAAAGTAAACTTACATTATAATGAAATATTAATACATACGAGTGTAAGGAAGCACATAGAGCCAATTCCCATGTTCACATGAGTGGTGTATTTGAACGCTGTATAGGGCATGAAGTTCTTGGTTCACATTTTGTCTCAACGTGTTTTATAGGCGTTGGTAAAGGTTTTGGTTTTGGTTTTGGTTTTGGTTTTAGAAATCAGGCCAGACTCATTCCTGTCTTATAAATGACATGGATTTCTTGCTTAAGTGCCATTTGCTTTAAAGTCCAGTGACTCAAATAAAATATATTTGCTATTGATTGCTTGGGGGCATGTTTTCCTGGTAATTTAAAGAAATTTCTGGGATGCTGTTTTGAACCAGGTCGGGGAACATTGGCTCTGGGTCCCTGACTGCCTCTCCCTGCGGCTGGCCAGCGATGTGGTCTGGTGTCCTTCACAGGAGAGCACAGGATGGGCAGGCAGCAAATGGCGAGTCACACTTTGGAGGTCCCACCTGCTGACCCCACTCACATCTCACTGGGCAGACATGGGTGGCAGGGGCACCCTTGGCTGTGTGTGAAGGGTGTGTTGACCAGGGGTGCTGGGGCACTTGGATGATAGTCTGCTAGAGAGGGTTGGAGCAGAAGCTGTAATAGTGGCCTTGAGGCTCCACAGCCCACTTCAGCCTATGGCTGCCAATTCAAAATGGCAGGAGTTGAGGGACATGGGTGCTGCATGGGAATGAACTGGAAAGAGAGGAGGGCGGGCAAAGGGTGGGTACTGCAAACAGCAATTCTGGAGGGGAGCTGTGGGTGCAGAGGAGCCCAGAGATTGGCCTGGGAGAAGGGGCTGGAGGGAGAGGGCCAAGGACCTGAAGGTATCCATCAGGTGACAGGGATCGGGGAGAGGATGCACCTTCCACAGATGAAGGTCCCAACCAGGAAGGCAGGTGCTCTTTGTGTGATGTGTATGTGTGTGAGAGCATGAGGAATGTGAATGTAAAAAGTGTGAGGAGTGTGAGTGTGAGAAGAGTGAGGAGTGTGAGTGTGAGGAGTACAGAATGTGAGTGAGAGGAGATTGAGTGTGAGGAGTGTGAGTATAGGAGCATGAGTCTGAGTGTGAAGAGAGTGAGTGTGAGAAGTGTGAGGAGTGTGAGTGTGAGGAGTATGAGAAGTGTGAGAAGTATGAGTAATGTGAATGTGAGGAGTCTGAGAAGTGTGAATGTGGATGTGGTGTGCAGGATTGTGAGGAATGTGTGTGAGGAGTGTGAGTGTGCCTGTGTCACTCTGAGGCTGAGGCTCCCAAGGAGGCTGGGCTCTTAGGCGGGATGGAAGAGGCAACAGAAAGTCCACCCAGGCCCTCAGGGTGGCTATGGCGTCTCCGTAAGGGACACGAGGGCAGATGGCGAGGTGGGCTGTCCAATGGTGGGGAGAGTGGGGCATGGTGCCCATGCAGCCTCTTCCTGCCATGCTGTCCAATCTGAGCAAAGCATCCTGGCAGGGACAGCATCCTTGTCCAGGCCCAGCTGGGGGCTGGGCTGGGGCTGGAGTGACTGTGCAAGGGGCTTCCTGGGGTCCCCCACCCCATCATGCCCTTCAGGATGATTGGCATCAGCAGGCCTGGGCCACCCCCCAGAACTGCTGCATCTGCTTCTTGAGGATATTCCCCAGTGCCACTCGGCATTGAACTGCAATGTGCTGAGCTTAGGGATTCTGAGAGGGCTTCTGTCTCACCACCTTCTGGTGTCCCAGGGCCTTCCATGCCCTTTGCCCCCTCTGGCTGGTTCCTGCGTGCCAGGGCAGGTCTTCAGGGACCCCAGACCTTCGTCCAGCTAAGTCTCTGGTCCCCAAATAGCCAGGGCATCACAAATCCTGGAGGCTCCTTCACTCCAACTGCAGCTAAAGTGATGCCTCCTCCAGGAAGCCACCCTGACTGACCCAGACTGGACTGGACCAGGTGACCCACTCTCCATGTCTGCCCTTGGCTCTCTTGGGGCCTCACGTGGTCACATCCAGGGCCGGCCTGGCTCAGGCCCTCTGAGGAAGGAGTGCATGGGTGAACGAAGCTTTGCCGCATTGGGAGTGGATGAAGAAACGTATTATTGACCAGAAGAAGCAAACAAACTGCAGAGACATCCACTCAGAGCGACGGCAGCTCCATGGAGAAGCATGTGAAACCTCCTAGGCTGTGTGGGGAGCGATGGGGGCAGGAAGGGGCTCCAGGGTTGGTGGTTTGGAGACCGAGTTGGTCGGGAGCTTATCTGCTTCCTGCCTTCTGGCGGCCCCCCTCAGTGTCCGGATCACCACTGGGCAACAGCTGTCTGGGCTGCCTGTTTCACCCCTGGGACCTGGGTGTGAGGCGCCTGTGGGAAGGGAGCTGCCTGGGGTTGGACCCTCTGGGACGGGCTGCTCTTAGGAACTCACCTGTGGAGAGGTGGGTACAGGCTTCTGCAGTCCAGATGTGCACTAGGACACAGGCTGCCCAGTGTAGCCAAGCTCCCAGGGCCAGGACAGAGGCCCTGTGAGGACGCTGGAAAGGCTGTGTCCTGGGAGCTTCGTGGAGGACGTCCCCTGGGTGACCGTCCCTCATGAGGGAAGGGCGGTCGGCTCTGCTGACTGCTGACCGTCAACTTCTGTACTGGCCGCCTGCCTGGCTTTCTGAAAGAGCAGAGACTTGTGAGCAACTGCCCAGATGGGCCTGGGAAGGTTATAGCTGGGGGGAGGGGGGGAGGGGGAGGGTCTGTGGTCCTGGAGGGCATGGGGCCAGCGGAGCTCCAGGCCTCCTGGGTGTGGCTCCCGAGCCTGGAGTGTCTGTGCTCCTGCTGTTGGCTCTGGATGACATAGGTCTGCTGGCACCTCAAAGGTGAGCTCTGGCCAGGGTCCCCAGAGCGGCATCCACTGTCCGGCCCAGCCCCCACGCTCACCATGCAGGGGGACACCGAGGGGTGCCCAGGCTGTGGGGGCTACCCGTGGAGCCTGGGGCTGCCTGGCTGGGAGCTGGGCTTGCCCTCTGACCCCGGCTGCTTCCCGAAGGCCATGGGACGGTTTTAGCCACAGCCTGTATCATGGTGGTAGCTCCCGTAGATCCACGGTGACTCAAGGCCGCTCAGAATCCCCCGGCCGGCCCGGCCTGGCCTCTACCCTGGGGGTGGGCTTCCGGGCTTGGCCTCCTGTGGGCAGGGCTGGGCCCACCGAGGTGGGCTCTGGGGCGCAACGGGCAGGTTTTAAGAGTGGCCTGTGGCACTGTGAACCCCGTAGTTATACCCACACTGCCTGAGGCCCGCACAAATTCTGCCGGGTTCCAGGCGGTTAGGGGCCCCGCCTGGACGTGGTGACCCATGTCCTGGCCCAGGAGCCCCTCAGGCTCTTGCTGTCCCCTGGGAAGAGGGGGCAGCGCAAGGGCATCTCCTGGCTGGAAGGGCGGCGCTGCACCCTGGAGTCTCAGGGCTAGTTCCGGAGAGGGTTTCAGGTGGGGCGAATGTCACTGTGGGCCCAGCTGCTACTGTACCACAGTGACACAGGCAGGACCAGAAACCCCCTGACCTCGGGGAGCTCAGCATACCCCGTGCTCTTCAGTCTTGAGGGGGGCAGGGTGGGGTGCTTGCTCTCTGGATGCATCTCCTGAGCCCCGTGTGCTTGTGGCTTTGGGGAGTTTCCAGCAGGGCCCCTGTGGGAAGGAGCCCATGGCCTGTGGGCTCTGCGCAGAGAAACCCTGGATCAAAGGGGCAGCCTGAGCCGTTTGGTGTGGGGTGTCCCTGGGGGCGCTGTGGGAAGGAGGGGATCCTTGAGGAGCAGAGGCTCATGGAGAAGCTTTTAGATCTTGCCTGAGCTGTGGGGGTATTCACCCTCCAGAGGGTCCCTGTGGAATCTGCCTCCCCTGGGAGGGCAGGTGGGCGGGGCATAGCATCCTCAGATGAGCTCCTCCTCCTGCAGCTGCCAGGCCCCTGCCCTGCACCCGGCATGGCCCACACTCAGCTGCCCTGCTGGTGGCTGCACAGGAGGGAGCTGGACTTGCAAGCCGGGACAGCACCCTGAGGTTGGTGGGAAAGTGGGTGGGGTCACCGTGCTCTTGGGTGAACAGCTCAGCTCCAGACCCTCTGCATCCCCTCCCCCACCAAGAGGTCCTGGAATGTCCCTGTCCCTGTCCAGTGGAAAGAGGCGGGGTGGGCAGTGGGGGAAGGAGGTGAGGCTGGGCCCTGGAGGGCACTCGGCCTGAGCTCCATCCTGTGCCCTGGCCTCTGGATGGGGTGTGGAATTTGAGGGGGGCCTCCCGGGCAGGGCCTGGGCAGGAGGGGTGGGCACTTGGTGGCCTGGTCAGCGCTGCCTAGGGCACTGGCACTGAACACCAGGGAGGTAGCAGTGACCTCTCTCCCTGCAGCTTCCTGCGTCTGCTCAGAGACCCGGCGAGGTCACCGTCTCCTATGACAGGAGGGCGGCCGTCTCGGGCAGGGAAGGGTGCTGGGCAGGTGGGCGGGTTCTGAGCACAGGCTGAGTCACTGTGGATCTACTCCAGTACCCACAGTGACAGAGGCCAAGACAATATGGCCTTGCCCCAGGGGGGTGAGGGGTGAACGCCCCAGGCCTCGGTCCCGGGGAAGCTGGGCAGACGAAATGTGGAGATTCAGGGCCTGTGGCACTGGCAGGGCTCACGCTGCTGACCCAGGTGGGGATGGTGCCTGGCGACCAGGCCAGGGTGCTGGGACCTGCCTGTGGCGGCCTGGGCTGAGCTGGGGCTCAGTAGGCATCTAGTTTGCGCGTGGTGTCCAGGGTCCAGGGTCCATGGGTCTTTGAATGGGGGACCATCTGCCTGTCACAGGAGGAGCTAGGCTACCGCAAGGGCTGGCCTTGGCTCCTGTCTGCCCTGGGAGGAGCACTGGGGGCAGGTTTCAGCCTGAGCAGGGGACAGGGTGGGGCAATGGCCAGGGAGGAGGGAGGCAGAGGCTGGGCTGGAGGTGCTGCCCCCAGCCTATCTGGAGCTGCTGCCCTGGGGCTGGTGGTGGGTCCTTCGAGGGGATGGGGTGTCTTACCCAGGCTGCCCTTCTGGAAGGTTTTGGCTTCAGCTCTGTGACCACTTCTGTATGTCACGGAGTACAAGCCCTCGGTCACATCCTACATCCGAAGCTACCCTCCCAGGAAGGCCCACTGGTGGGTGGTACCTGGGCCAAAGCCTGGATGTGGACAGGGTCCGAGCGTGCAGAGGCCAGGCAGGCAGGCGGGAGCCTGAGTTGTGCAGCCAGAGTGGGGGTGGCCCCCGGACTGAGGACACGGTCAGGCCCCGGGCGGAGTCCTCCACCAGGAACCTGCACCCAGCTCAGAGAATGGAGTGGATGCCCCTGCCGCTGGGTAGGGTGGCCAGCCCCTCTGACAGAAGGGCTTTACCTGTAGGCAAGTCCCTGAGGTTGGATTTCAACCTGGTGTCTGAGACACACGGAGGCCAAGCACCTGGCAGGTAGCCCTTCCTCCCGGGGGGAGAGACCCTGGGACCCCACAGGCCATGCCAGGAGCAGTCCCCCCTCCTGTACCCCAGAGGCTGGGAGCTGCCCCCACCCAGAGCCCTGCCTGCCCAGCTCAGGGGTGAGCTGCCTGTGCAGAGCCGAGAGCAGGCCCAGCTCTCCCTCAGCCCCCCTGAGGGTGCCTGGGGCCCTGCCTGTTGGAGCCTCAGCTCAGACGGTCTGCCAAGGGCAGCTCTGACCTTCTTGCTGGTGTTGAACTTGCCGGACAGGGGCCTGTGGGGTCTGGGAAGAGCCCCCTGAGGCCCCGGCAGCAGGTAGAAGTGGCCCAGAGGCCTAGGGTCAGGGCTACTACCCTGGGAGCGGCCCCTGGCGGCCTGAGGGCCTGGCTGCATGGCTGGGTTTGTGGTGGCAGGTTTGTCACTGTGGTAGCGGTATCCAGGATTGCACAGTGGTATGAGCCTTGGCAAAAAGCTCCTGTGTGTGGTCGGAGGTGCTGTCCTGCGGAGGCCCCGGCCTAGGGGTCTGGTGGGCCCTCCACGTGGGGACCATGGGTCTCAAGGTCCATGGAGCTGGCAGGACAGGGCTGTGGGGGAGCCAAGGGGGCGCTCACTGTGTCTGCCGCCCAGAGGGTTTGTGCTTCGGGCTGCACCACTGTGGTACCACCATACCCATGGTGATGGGGCCCCATTCAAAATCCAGGGGCAGTGCCCCTGAGGGCAAAGCGCAGGCAAGCCTGGCTCCAGCAGGTTTTTTGTTTGTTTTTGCAACAGAGGTCAGCTTTTATTGGAAGTGTTACAAAAGAGCCAGTTTAGTCCAAAAGCCCAAAGCCCATGTCATGATCAGATGCCTCAGATTCTTCTTTCTTGGCTTCCACTTTCTCCTCAGCTGGGGCAGCACCGGCTGCAGGGGCCGGTCCACCGGCCCCCACATTGCACATGAGACTCCCAATGTTGACCTTGGCCAGAGCCTTTGCAAACAAGCCTAGCCAGGAAGGTTCAACACTCATACCAGCTGCTTTAGTGAGCGCCTGGTCTTCTGTCACCGTCACATCCTCGGCATGAGGGCTGAGTAGCTGCGGTGAGCTCCGAGACGGAGGCCATGGTGAGGGTCAGTGCTGGGCGAGCGCAGCCGGGGTGCTGCTAGTTGCCTGGTGAAGTGAGGGCCTCCTCACTCGCCTTACTAAGTGAAGGTCTGAGCACCTTACCTTAACTGCAGCTGGGAAGGGGCTCCAGCGGCGTGTGGTGGGCACTGTGACACTGTGGCTGTGACAGCCAACCCAGAGCAGTAAGCGTAACAGTGACCCAGGCCCGCCCCCTCTTCTCCCTCCCACCCTCCCCCCGGGGGGATCATGGAATCCGTGATGGCCATGGCCTGAGGCAGGCCCCAGGGAGGCTGTGGGCGGGTGCAGGGCTTGGAGCCTGTGAGACCTTGCCTGGCAGGTGGACAGGACCCTGCCCGGCTCTGTCTTGAGGCTCCTCGGCAGGGCACGGTCACTTCAGCCTGCTGTCCGGCCCATTTTGGAACCCAACCCCATTGTGAAGGCCTCTCGTTGACCAATTGCCCCAGGCTCTGTAGGGGTACTGTGGGGCCTTTGGGCCTCCTGGGGCCAGAGGGTGACCCCCACTTGCTGCCAACCCTGGGACTCCGGGTTGGAATTGTGCTCACTGACCTGGGGACATCGGAGAGGAGGGCCCAGCCTCGCTTCACCTGGACCCTGCTTCCCGCCTCTCCCTGGCCCTCTTCCTCCCCCTCTGCTGGGCAGGAGCTGCCCCCCTAATAACGCCTGGAGTTGTACGTTCTGGTGATGGAGACCTGGGTGATCCCCCTCCTGAGGCCGGCCCATCTGCAATGCAGCTGCAGTTCTGTCTGCCCGGCAGGACTTGGAGCAGGTGCAGAGAAGCCTTGGGAGGCCCAGGTGCAGGAAGGCCCAGGGGAGATCCAAGTGCAGGGAAGCCCAGATGAGGCCCAGGTGCAGGGAGGCCCAGGGTGGCCCGGGTGCAGGGAGACCTTGTGCCTCGCCTCCAGATCCTCCCTCCTGCTCCACCCCCTGTGCTGCTGGCTGTTGTGGCCAGGTCTCCTCCCTGGGACATGTGGCCTCCTGAGCCCCGGAGCCCAGGCCTGAAGCAGGAGCTGATCCTCTAGGCCCCTCCGTGGAGTGGCCTCTGCAGAGGGACACCTGCCTGTTTCTAGTCCCAACCTGAGCCCCGCAGCAGCACTGCCTGTCTAGAGGGCACCCCAGGGTGGCGTTGGCGTTCATTGCCCTCAAGTCCCCATAATATTCTGGGGCCCTGCTGGGGGTCCCCTCTTCCCCTGGGTCTTCAGTCCTCTGAACCCCTCCCTCTTCTGAACCTCGAAGGCCTCGTTCCAGGTCCCAGGGGCCCACGTGGGAGCCTTTGCTCTTTAGTCTCAGGGGGTGGAGCCTGCCCTTGGACTGTGCCCAGGTCCCCCAAGGTGGTGGGGTGTGGGGGCTGGGGGTGGGGCAGGAAAGGAACCACAGGCCCAGGACCTGGTGTGGTTCCCAGCACCGCCTGGTGGTCAGTTTAAGACACTTCATTACAGCTGCAGTGCCTGCTGGGGCGGAGGTCTGACATCAGGGGCAGGAGGTGTCTCCTGCGGGTCCCTAGCTGCCTCCTGGGCCCCTCAGGGATGGCAGTGCTGCTGGGTCTGCCCAGCCTGCGGGGTAGGACAACCTAAGGGGCCCCATTGCTCCCTCCTCTCCTGTCTCAGCTAGCGCTCCCCCCTGCCCCCAGCGCTGGGTGCCACTCCCAGGTGTCAGGGTCAGCATGTCCCTACAGAATCCCAGCCCCAGGTGGGCCAGCTCTGCCCAGCCAGATCCTGTGTAAAGGGGGGTGCCTGGGGCTGGTCTGACCCAAACCTCCCTGGTCAGGAGAGGGCTCTGCACAGGCTGCCAGTGTCCTGGGTGCTGGGCCCTGGCTGTGCCCTGGCTGAGCCCTGGCTGTGCCCTGGCTGAGCCCTGGCTGAGCCCTGGCTGTGCCCTGGCTGAGCCTTGGCTATGCCCCTGGCTGGGCCCTGGCTGGGGCCCTGTTGGAGCCTCCCTTTTCCCAGTGAGGCCAACGAGGGCCTGAGGGCCCAGTGTCCCCACTCCTGCTAAGGCTGGGAGGGTGGACCCAGATGGTGACTAACCCCCAGGTCTCCCATCTGGGGCATCTGGCTGCTCCCCACCTCGCCTCCTGCCTCTCAGGTGGTGCGGGCACCACGGGGTGGCCTGGGTGTCTCCGAAGATCAACCTGCCTGAACCCCTTTACTCCCTCTTGGGGGAGGGGTGGCTTCCTCACCAGCGCAGGACCTGGTGGGCCCAGGCACCTTCACCCTGGAGCTGGCACCTGGGCCCCTCTGCCCTGCGGGCCATGCCTCCAGAGCTCAGACATGCCCCAGCCTTCAGAGTGGGGGTAAAGGTGAACTAGAGGCTGGGTGCACCCCTCAGGCCATGGGCTGCTGTTCCAAGGTGAAAGCTGCCTGTGCCCACCACTTAAAAAGAAATAGGATTGCTTTAAAAAATAGAGGTGGTCTGAATTCTCAAGGCCTCTAAGGGGCCTTGAGCCCCACGGGGACCCTTGAGAGGGGGTGACAGAGCAGAGAGCTCTCCTTCCTTCCCTCCAATGAATTCTTAGTGAAAGGACCCCCTCAGCTCCTTCATGCCTCCTTCATGGTCAAACATGGAGCTGCCTTCCTCTCAGGCTTGACCAGGGAGGGCTCTGGAGACTCGACCAGAGGGAACTGTGAGAGCCCAGACCTTCCTGTCCCTCTCTCGAACCACGGCTGGGACCAAAGGGAGCCCCAGAGTGGGAGTGGGGACCAGGCAGTAAGACTGAGAGAAAGAGGAGGAGGATGCAGGTCCCACCAGCAGGTGATGCCACAGTGGATGATGCTACAGTGGATGATGCCACAGTGGGTGATGCCACAGTGGGTGAGGACACAGTGGGTGAGGACACAGTGAGGGAAGTCACAGTGGGGGAGGACACAGTTGGGGAGATCACAGTGGGGGAGGACACAGTGAGGGAGGTCACAGTGAGGGAGACACAGTGGGGGAGATCACAGTGAGGGAGGACACAGTGGGGGAGGTCACAGTGGGGGAGGTCACAGTGGGTGAGGACACAGTGGGGGAGGTCACAGTGGATGAGGTCACAGTGGGTGAGGTCACAGTGGGTGAGGTCACAGAGGCTGAGGTCATAGTGGGTGAGGTCACAGTGGGTGAGGTCACATTGTGTGAGGTCAGTGGGGGAGGTCACAGTGGGGAAGGTCACTGTGGGGGAAGTCACAGTAGGTGAGGACACAGTGGGTGAGGTCACAGTTGGGTGAGGTCACAGTGGAGGAGGTTACAGTGGGTGAGGTCATTGGGGAGGTCATAGTGGGTGAGCATTGGGGAGGTCACAGTGGGTGAGGTCACAGAAGGTCTGCTGGCTCTGTGCTAGGCCACCTCCTGCCCATGCCTGTCACTGCAGAGTGGAAACACCCTGCTCTTTGAGGCCTGGATCCAAGGAATGTCCTGTCAGTGGCAACAGGTTAAACAGAGCTCTGGGAGAGTCATGATTTTATTTTAATTTATTTCCCAGAGGCCAAGTGTGCAGCACATCGTGCATGAGTAAATGGCTTCTGCTTGCCTCACTGGTCACCCTGCCCATCGCTGCTCAGAGCTCTTGCCCTGCTCTTCGCCTCTGGTAGCTCTCTGATGCTCCTAACCCTCCAGGGCTCATGGCTCTTCACCACCAGTAGCTCGAGTCCTGCCCTGCCTGATGGCAGAGCCCAGGCTCCTTTGGTCGTGATATTGTGACAGTGTGACAGCCAAGGGCTTTTTATTAATATAGGTTTTTTAAATCCTCACTTGAGGGTATTTCTCCATTGATTTTAGAGTGAGTGGAAAAGAGAGGGAAAGGCAGCGAGAGACATCAGAGTGAGAGAAACACATGGATTGGTTGCCTCCTGCACCAGCCCAGACAAGGACCCAGGCTGGGGAGGCCATTGCAACAGAGGTACATGCCCTGGACCATAATAAAACCTGGGACCCTTCAGTTTGCAGGCTGATGCTCTCTAGACACTGAGCAACCGTCTGGGATATTTTATTGTTTATGATGAAGAATAAACAAAGTTGTAAAGGAAACCCTCTTTGGCCAACCCCTGCAAATGCCCTTGGGGCTGATTTTTGAGTTTAGTGAGTCCTGAGTTTAGTCATTCCAGTAGTTCTGAGGGGACAGTGCTGGCCCTGAGCGCCCCCTGGTGTTTTTAGCGCCGACTGCAGCCCAGCCCTGCTGCCTCCCTCAGGCTCACACTGACTTCCACTCACTGTGTCTGTAGCACAGTAATACACAGCAGTGTCCTTGGCTCTCAGGCTGTTCATTTGCAGATACAGCATGTTCTTGGCGTTGTCCCTGGAGATGGTGAATCGGCCCTTCACAGAGTCTGCATAGTATGTGCTACCACCTGTGTTAGTAATGCGTAAGACCCACTCAAGCCCCTTCCCTGGGGCCTTGAGGACCCAGTCCATGTGGTAGCTACTGAAGGTGAATCCAGAGGCTTCACAGGAGAGTCTCAGAGACCCCCCAGGCCACACCAAGCCTCCCTCAGACTTCACCAGCTGCACCTCACACTGGACACCTGCAAACACAGAGACACAAGGTGGACTTGGAATCACATGGAAGCAGCCGAAACTGGTTTGGCTCAGTGGTAGAGTGTCAGTCTGCGGACTGAAAGGTCTCAGGTTCGATTTTGGTCAGGGGCATGTACATTGGTTGCAGGCACATCCCCGGTAGGGGGTGTGCAAGAGGCAGCTGGTCAACGTTTCTCTCTCATTATTTCTAGCTCGCTCTCTCCCTTCCTCTCTTTAAAATATCAATAAAATATATTAAAAAAAGAAAGAAAGAAATCTCAACCCTCCCCCCCCAAAAAAAAAAAAGAATCACATGGAAGCACAAACAGGCACAGGAACAGGTCTAAGTGCTCCCCTCTCCTGAGAATGACCTTGAAGAATGATCAGGAGAAAATCACAACTTGTCACCAAGTCCATGGTGGAGCCACTGGGGTCCTGACTCAGGCACATGGGTTCTGGGTGTCTCCCTAGCATGGGAGCTGGTCCCTCATTTATGAGCAGGAGAGGAGCCCCATTTGCATGGAGTCTGGATATAAGGGTGCAACTGGGACCCTGGGCTGCATGCCTGACCTTGTCATCCTAGGGCGACCCCAGATGGCAAAAGACTGAAGGATGCTGGCCACAAGGGGTCCTGTCACCACCCACCCTCTTTCCCTACTTTCCTTACACCCAGTCATCCTGATTTCATTCCTTTGGATGAGACCTTGCATTGGAATGATGCTTTTATTTTGAGACTGAAATATCATGGTTAAGAGAGCAGGATTACTGTGTCTTACAGTTCTAGCTGGTCTCCCACATTCTACAATATTTCTCCCCTATGAATACCTCAAATGTGTACAAGTGAGGAGGCAGGAGAGGCTGGGCTGGACACTGTGGCCACAGCCTCTGTCTCAAACCTGTTGTCCCTGTCACAAGCACGCATCTGCCTGCCCAAAACCACAGATTTCACTGGACTTCCCTGCTGTTTATGCACAAAAGGCCTGTGTTCCCAGCCTCTCAATGTGGAAGAGTTTTTATCTTTTAAAATGGAGCCCTGGCTGTTGTGGTTCAGTGGTTGGACCATTGGCCTGCACACCACGGGGTGTGAACTCTTTAGAATTAATTCCATTTAGGAAACAGGTTTGTAAAAGTAAAGGCCATAACAAGAGGTAAGACAGACCATTACATAATACGAGAGAGAGCAATTGAACAAGAAGATATAATTCTAATAAACATATAAATCTGCTCTAATATGGGAGAACCCACATACATAAGACAACTTCTGGAAGATATCAACGGAGAGGTCAATAGCAATACAGTCATAGTAGGGGACTATAATATCCCACTGACACCACTGTATAAATCCTGTAAACAAAAATCAGCAAAGAAACAGCAATCTTAAATGACTAGCTCAATGGGCCTAATTGACATCTTTAGTATATTTTACCCCAAACCAACAGAATATACATTCCTCTCAAGTGCACGCGGGACATTTTAGAAGATAGAACAGATATTTGGACACAGGCAAAGTCTCTTCAAATTCAGGAAGATAGAAATCATAACAAGCATTCTCTCAGATCACAATGGCCTAAAATTAGAAATAATATACAATAAAAACAATGAAAAAAATCAAACACTTGAAGGTAAATGGCATGCTATTAAACAATGATTGGGTTGCCAAAGAGATCAAGGAATAAATAAAAAAACATCCTGGAAACAAATGACAATAAAAACACAACAATCTAAATCTATGGGACATAATGAAAGTAGTCCTGAGAGAGAAGTTCATAGCTCTACAGGCCTACCTTTAAAAATAAAAATAAAAAGTGGTAATAAAGTATCTAACCTTGCAACTTAAAACATTAGAAAGAGAGAAACAAAAAAAGCCCACAGTAACCAGAAGGAAAGAAATAATAAAGGTCAGAGCAGAAATAAATGACACAGAGAACAAAACAAACAAACAAAAAATAACAAAACAAAAAAAAGCTATTCAAAAGATCAATGAAACCAAGAGCTGGTTCTTGAAAGGATAAACAAGATTGGTGAACCTCTAGCCAGGCTCACCAGAAGCAAAGACAGAGCACCCAAATAAGAAAAATCATAAATGAAAGAGTCAAAATAACAATAGACCCCACAGAAATACAAAGGATTGTAAAACAAACAAACAAAATACTGCAAACAACTCTACTCCACCAAACCGGCCAACTAAGACAAAATGGACATATTCCGAGAAAAACACAACCTCTCAAAACTCAATCAGGAAGAATAAAAAAACCTGCATAGACTGATAACTACTAATGAAATTGAGTCAATAATAAAAAACCTTCTAGCAAACAAAAGCCCTGGATTGGATGGCTTCACAGGGGAGTTTCACCAAACATTCAAAGAATTAAAACCAATCCTTCTCAGACTATTCAAAAAAAAAAAATTCAAGAGGAAGGCACTCTCCCAAGTTCTTTCTATGAAGTCAACATTACACTAATCCCAAAACCAGATAAATACACTGCAAAGAAAGAGAATTATAGACCAATATCCCTGATGAACATAGATGGTAAAATCCTCAACAAAATTCTAGCAAATTGGATCCAGCAGTACATCAGAAAAATCATACACTATAACCGAGTGGGATTTATTCTAGGGATGCAAGGATGGTACAATATCCACAAATCAAAAACTGTGAGGCATTACATAAACTAATTGAGAGACAAAAATGACATAATCATTACAATTGATACAGAAGAGGCATTTGACAAAGTCTAACACCCTTTTCTGATAAAAATGCTTAGCAATGTGGGAATGGAGGGATCATACCTCAACACAATAAAAGCCTTATATGTTGAACCTACAGCCAACATCATACTCAATGGGCAAAAACTAAAGGCATTTTTCCTTAAAACAGGAACAAGACAGGGATGCCTGCTTTAACCACTCCTCTTCGACATAGTACTGGAAGTGCTAGCCATACAGATCAGACAAGAAGAAGAAACAAAAGGCACTCAAATTAGTAAAGAAGAAGCAAAACTTTCCTTATTTAGAGATGACATGATATTATACATAGAAAACCTGAAAAAAATTATTAGACTTAATAAATGAATTTGGCAATGTAGCAAGATATAAAATTAACACCCAGAAATTTTTGGCAGTTTTGAGAACGGTTTATATGAAACCTTGATTATATTGTAAAAAATTAGTTTATCAAGTAATCAGAATATGCACCTTTATTGAAAAAGCAAAGTAAGTAAACATATACATTTGACCCATGAAGTACACTCCCAGCAAATCTGAAAAGCAGGCTTGGTGGTGGTCTGAGGTATTATGTACACTCCTGTCTTAAAATTGTGCTGCTGAATATTCTGGAGAACCTTAAGAAGTAGGCAGCAACCTCGTCATGTCAAGCTTAGAGATTTAATTCTCTTGCTTTTCTGCTTAAGAGTAAAATGTCCTTCTCCCAGGTTCCCCCTCTCCCCCTGTTCTTTTTTGCCCCTCTTCCCCTCACTTTCTGTATTGACCAAAAAAATGTTTCTCAAATTCTGGGCCCAAACATGGAGGAACTTTTCCTATTTATATGTTTTTACCATCTTTGTCTCCCAAATATCCTTCTCAGACTATTCAAAGGTGTTTCTGGTTCCCTTTGCAAGTTCTTAAAGCCTTATGTGCTGGGGCTTTCAGACCTGAACCAAAGATTTGGCCTGGCGCCAGCACTGATAATTTTGTCTGGAAGGTTTAATGGCCTCTCTGAAGTGGATGTAGTCTTATTTTCCTTATTCTTTAAGCAAGCAACCATTTACAGAAGCCAAAATAGCAGGGATAAAATATTCAAATGGCAGTTTTTATAATCAGATGGATGCTTCACCACCAGCACTTCGCTTACTGCCCTCTAATTCCAGTGGCCACGGGCTTGTCCACCATGATGCTCTGCAGCTCAGAGGCCCCTGGAGGTTCCCTCAACACATGTGTGAGCTATTGGAGGTGCTCTGAGAGCAGTGCTCAGCTCTGTCTCCATTTGACCCAGGTGGGGCCCCACACCCTGACATCACACGTGGGCACTGCATGTGGGCTCAGCAAGGTAGCTGAGTCCAGCTTCAGCCACCTAAATGGCTCTGGCCCTGGCACCTCAAAGAGGGCCTGGCACAGGAGATGGTTATGAGGGATGGTGTGGGGTGCATTTAAGGCAAAACCTACCAGGCGGGAAGGAGAGGGCAGAGCGCAGCCACACGGGACGTCCTGTGCAGGCCCGATGGGGGGAGAATGTGGGCTGCAGAGGACAGAGGGTGAGGATGGGTGCATACCTATGTCTCCCTTCAGCAGGTTCTCAGTAATAAAGTAAAAATATAATTCAGACCCACTTGTAAAGAATTGATGTGAATTTATTTGAGCCAAACTGTTGACATATGCCTTGAGGCAGAATCTCAATGAATTGAGATAATGCTCCAGATAATGGAGGGTTACATCTGTCTTTGTACACAGCAATAAAAGGAAAGGGACCTAGGGAAGTTACATGAAATTCATTGTAACTGCCTCCCTGCAGGACACCCTGAGAGCTGGGTTCATCTCCCAGGTTCATGAGGGGCAACGTCCTCTGGGTCAGACCTTAAATCCATGTGCAGCCATGTCAGTGAGAGTCCAGTGGCTAACTGCCCCCTCAAGGCTCTTCTGAGGGTGGATACAGGGGCTGATCACCCTCAGGTGAGATTTGGGGCCTGGTCTCTGCCTTCCCCTGCCAGCACTGTGGGGGAGGGGAACATCACTCTCAGTGAGGGGACAGGAATCCCTAGAATGTTTTCCTTGTCAACCCAGAGAGCAACCATCAGGGACCTGGTG